AAATAGTCATAAAATTAATGACTAGAGGCATTTAACAGTCTTTCATGATACCAACTTCGCGGACTACTTCATGCTTTTTAGCTCTTTATATTTTAAGAGCTGAGTACCTATTTTAAGCTTTGTTGAATACCCCGAGAACTAATCCAGTTGCGCCAACTGAAATGAATTCGAAGTTAGGATCAAATTTAGTCAATTTTTGCAAATCATTAAGAATGATTTAATATTCATAAGTTTCGAAGGGCTTTCTTTCCAATTATTCGTATTTTTTTATAAGCTTTTCTAAGTGTAAATCTTTCTAAAATAATAAATAACATTAATTTAAAATTTTATAAGCATTTATTTACATTATAAATCTAAGATAGCTGTAAGATTTCACTTTCATTTTTCTTCTTCTTCTGAACTATACTCATTTGAATTTGGTTAAATTATTCAGCTTTCTGCTTTAATTGAGACTTTAATTTTTAAGAAATTAATGAAATGAATATTAAAAATATGAATTTAAATAATTTTACCTTATTTAATAATGTAAAAACATCTACATTTAAGTATTATTAGTTCTAAACAATGAATTAAATTAGAAGCTCAACTGCAGGTTTACGTTGGTCCACTTCGTATTTAAGGCATTGCATGACTATCTTATAGATTTGGGATTATCTATCTATGTTGAAATTTTAGAAGATTTATCCATTTTTTGTTTCAAACTTTTGCTCAAGATTTGTTTTACTGATATCAAAAGTTGCTATGTTATCAAGTTCTAGCAAAACAATTCCGACAGAAAACAGATCAGACTAGTTTTAATTTAATAAATATTAGTAAATACAATGATTTTAATAACAAAAAATTATCAAAATAACTAAATCGGTTTCAAGCCAAAATAAATAAAGAAAATAGTTTAATTTTACCAGTTTTTTATACACATTTTAGTAAACTTCTGGAGCAGTATAAGCTTAAGATCCTTTCTAAAATTTTAAGTTAGAAATTTAATAAAATATTTCTTGAAAGTTTTATTACGAAAGTCGAAATAGAAAGTCTTGTTTCGTTATTCTTAAGAGCGGATGCAAAAGCCAGATCACCTTTTTGTTATAATTTAATATATAAATATTTTTTTTTTTA